CACTTTCCACTAGACCAGGTTGTTCCAAGCCCCGTCCAACCTGGCCTTGAACACTGCCAGGGATGGGGCAGCCACAGCTTCTCTGGGCAACCTGTGCCAGGGCCTCACCACCCTCACAGGGAACAACTTCTGCCTCCGATCTCATCTCAGTCTCCCCTCTGTCAAGTTAAAGCCATTCCCCCTTGTCCTGTCCCTACAGACCCTTGTCAAAAGCCCCTCTCCAGCTTTCTTGTCAGCCCCTTTAGGCACTGGAAGCTGCTCTAAGGTCTCTGTGGAGCCTTCTCTTCTCCAGGCTGAACAAGCCCAGTTCTCTCAGCCTGTCTCCATAGCAGAGGTGCTCCAGCCCTCAGGGCATCTTTGTGGCCTCCTCTGGACTCACTCCAACAGCTCCATGTCCTTCTTATGTTGGGGACAGATGCTCCAAGTGCCAGTACTGGGGGAGGACAGGGACGGGATGTGCAAGGGAGTGGGGCTGAGGTCGAGCAGGCTGTGGCATGGCAAGCAGGGCAGTGTCATTACACCCATGGCAGTTTCATGTCTGGCTCAAGCTCAGCTCCCAGCCGCTGCAGAGGTCCCAGCAGCACCCTGAGGCCACATGCTGCATTTCTGTGTTGTAATCCAGGGTCTGCAGCAGGGAGGGAAAAACCTGCTCCCCCTGCCCGCTGGGGACAGGGCTGAAATGATGGATGGGACCTGGGCACGGCAGGTTTGGGGTAAATAATGGGGAATGAGACACAAGTCTGTGAGCATGGTGGACCACTGCAGCGATCTCTTGGAGAGAACCCATTCCTGCTCCTAGTAACATGGTGGAAACTCCCTGGTTTCAGTGCTGAAGCAGGGCTGGAGGATGGTGCTGTAGGTGCCAAACATGGTGAGAGCGTTTCTGTTACTCTGGGAACCTGAGCAATAAAGTAATGAGTCATTTAAATACCTGCCTGCGGTGCCCTGCCTTACCTGTCGCCTGCCATTGAGGAATGCTGCTTCCTGGGGTGACTCATTCTGGGCTGGAGTCCCCATGACAAGGTGGCTCCTGGGGGTGTGTTTTCCTTGCATGGAGCCTGGATTCATCTTGGTGGCTGCAAAAGAAGGGGCAGCACGGTTTGGGGTGGGATGTGCCAGGTCCTGTTATGAGAGGTGATGGACCCCATGGGCTGATCTGGCAGCTGAGACCCCCCTTGGTGGTCAGGGTAAGTTTCAGGTCACCCCATCCCCTGCTCCCTGCATGTCCTTGGGTTGGATTCCCCTCGGCACAGCCGCTTTGGGGTTGTGTTTTGCTTGGTGGGACCCAGGCTCTTGGCTTTGCAGAACGAGGGAATGTGAGATGCCAGCGCCGCCTGCTGCCTTCATCCAGCGCCCTGCTGGGACCACCCAGCCTGGGGTCCCGGCCTGCTGGGTGCTATGCAAATGCCTCTGCGCACACTTATCAGCCGCAGTAGGAAGTGTCTGGGCTGGGACTGTGTCACGCATCCAACATGGATCCCCAGCGTGCCTGCTGGGGACAGAGACAGGGTCCCGTGGGAAGCAGCCCCATGCCAGAGGGGAGTTGAGTGGGCAGAGGGTGGAGGTTCAAGGGGCTCAGGTTGTGGCCATGGCCCCTTCTCCAGCCCCAAAACTGAGAGGTAGAGTATGGCTGGGTCCATATGGGACACGTCCCCCCCAGCCAGACGGCACAGCGATATGCCCCCAGGCGTTGTGCAACGACGGTGCAGGCAGGGTGCAGGCGCTGCCTTTACTGCATTCCTGGCTTTATTTGGAATGGGCATTTGGCACATGGAGGGACTACAAGGCGGGGGGGTGCTCTGCTGGAGGGATGGAGCCATCCCCCATTGTCCATGCTGGCCTTGAGGGGACATTGAGACACAGGACCTGCCCTTGCTTATGCCAGCTGCCTCCAGCCCTGTCTGACTGTGATGGTCAGGGATGCTTCCTGCAGGATGCTCCCTGCATTCCTCTCATCAGGGTAGGGACACAGAGGGGACATCCATCCCTTGCCCTGGCCCCATGGGCTCACCGAGAGTGTGCGGGGACGCGCTGTGGGAATGGGGCTGGAGGAAGAAAGTAGAAAGTGAGAAAAAAGAGACAAAACAAAATATTTTTGGTCTGTGTGCCCTGAGAAATTCCAGCACACTTGTGAAGGCAGCCACTGCCCCCCTCTGCTGAGACCTGGGTTCCCCCTCCCCGGGGCTGGCTTGGGCCGTCATCCCACTTCACCAACCCCAGGATGGCCCCTCTGAAACCCAGAGGATGTAGGGTTCATTTTTGAGCTATTTAGTGGAAATACCTTTACTTTAGATATTTCTGCAGGAGAAGTTCTTTAGGTTCTGCATCTGCTGCAGAGCAATGAGAGATGCAGAAAAGCCTGAAGGGAGGCGTTTCCGTGTGTGCTGCTGATCTGGGATGAGGGAGTTGCTGGCTTTGCTTGACCCTGTTGCTGGTTGAGCCTGGTTGAACTGGAAACACTTGTCTAGCACACTGCAGTGCTGGACAGCCGTAATGTGGATGCAGTCCATGAGTTGGTGTCACTCAGGGATGGAGCATCCATGATATTGATTGCAGTGTTGGCCTCATCTTCACCTTCACCCCACCGTCATGGCTGATGACGGGATGGAGAGAGGGGGTGCTGTGGTCGTCCTCACTTCAGCCAGCCTTTGGAGCCTGCATGAGAACTGGTCTTAGCTAAAAAGAGCATCAGCAGAGAGCTGATCATCAAGATGTTCTGCAAAGGATGTGGGTTGCTGCACAGTCCTGACTGTGCAGGCTGAAACACTGCTGTGAAACAAAGGCCCAGACCAGTGTGAGATGCATATTCACTCACTTGCGTGTGACCATTGGTGTGGCTGGACTCGCTGCTGGCCTGAGTCTTGCTCAGGTCCAGGGTTAACATCCCAGCATCCTGTTAACTGTCGTAGTGATGCTCCATCGCAGTCATGGAGATGCAGAGCTTCATTCCCTGTTCCCTCAGAGAAACCTGGAAAACAAAGTCTGCACCATCCACATGTTGCACCGCTGCTGGCAAACCCCTTTGTACAGACCTGAAAGTGCCAGGCTACGCCATGCTTATTTTTAGGGCAGTGACTCAGGAGAGTTGCTTTAAAAAGCCAAAGCTCGCGGGAGGCAGCACACAGCATCCCGTGAGCGCACAGGACTGTACCAGGCTGTAATTACAGTGGAGCTGCCGCTAAGCTCTGTGCAAATGGTGGTGCAAATCCAATGAGGAAGGGGAAATGGGGGAATGGGGAGAGAAAACCTCAGTGGCCAGGCTGGGGAAAGGTTTCTGCCAGAAGGTCCTTGCTGTGTGTTTTTCTTGCCATCTCTCACTTGGTTTTGTAGAGGTCCAGTGCCAAGGCAGCTGGCAGCAAGGTTGGGCTGTGTTATCATGGGTGAAGTGAAGGATGCTCTGATCCTGTTTGACTGGTGGTCAATGAGAAGCTCACCACGACCAAGCAGTGTGCACTTGAGCCCAGAAACCAGCATTGTCCTGGGCTGCATCACCAGCAGCATGACCAGCAGGTCGAGGGAGGGGATTCTCCCCCTCTGCTCCGCTCTGGTGAGACACCCCCCAGGCCTGTGTCCAGCTCTAGGACAGCAACATAAGAAGGACATGAAGCTGTTGGAGCGAGTCCAGAGGAAGCCACAAAGATGCTCTGAGGACTGGAGCACCTCTGCTATGGAGTCAGGCTGAGAGAACTGGGCTTGTTCAGCCTGAAGAAGGCTCTGGGGAGACCTTAGAGCAGCTTCTGGTGCCTAAAGGGGCTGACAATAAAGCTGGAGAGGGGCTTTTGACAAGGGCCTGTAGGGACAGGACAAGGGGGAATGGCTTTAAACTGCCTCCAGCCTTGCCAGGAATCCCTGTACCATGCTGAGACATTTCCGTATAGCAGATCTGGTGTGACACACGAGAGCTGCAATGCTCCTGTTTGCAAACAGCTTCTCAGCTGTTTAATCAGTAACCCAAAGCCTGAGCTCAGGTGGGGCTCTAGCTGAGGAGCACCCTAACGGGTGAACTTCCACCTTTCTTGTTGATTTCATGCTCCATAAAGATGACTTTGGAGCAGCTCTTTGCAGACCTGGATCCATCCCATGCACCTGTCTGTGCTGGCTGGTTTTCACTCCTTGCAAAGCCCTGTGCATTCCCAGGAAGCCAGTGGCTGGGCTGAGACAAGCTCCTTTCCTCTTTGGGGGTTATGCGAGCTGAGTTTGCCTGGCCTCAGACAGTTGCATGTCCAGATAGGTGGAGAAAGCCACCTGGAGCAATCCCTCCTCTGTGCCAGCCCTGCCCAGCTTGAAACCCGAAAGCCACACAAAGAGGATAATTTTGGATCCATTTGGATCTTCCAACAACACGCCACATTAATTGTTATTCTCAGCAGAGGGAGAGCTCAAGCCTCTTCCCTTCCGGCTCAAATGACATTTTTGGGGTTCAGAGGGTTTTATCCCTCTAAAAATAAAAGAACAAATCAATATAAATCAGTATCCTCCTTGCAGGGGAGAAGGGAACTGGTTGCTTGCCCCATTGTGCTTTTTACTGTTTTTTTTCCAAAGCTCTCTGCTAAATTCAGCTTGGTTGAGGGGTCACATTGTTGAACTGCAGCTGCAGGTGTCTGTGGTGGGAAGCTGCAGCCTGAAACCTTCACCCAGGTTTCATGTGGGGGGGAGAAAATGGTGAGTGCTGTGGACACACATGTGTTGCTTTGTTGGTGATGGGGACACAGAGGTGTTGCTCTGGAGGTGACAAGGACACAAGGTTTGGCTCAGATGAGCTGGCCGTGGGGTCCTGGTGGTGACAGTGGCCATGCATGGCCAGGAGGTGCTGTGAAAGGGAGGACAACCTCTGTCACGCTCTCTCTTTCTTTACATTCTCTGTCCATCTCTATCCACCTCCATCCATCTCCACCTCTCCATCCCTTCCCTTCCCCACCCTCCCTGGGGTGTCCCTGCTATCTGTACCCCACCCTCCCTCTCCCCACCCCACAGGTGACTCCCCACGGTCTCTCCCGCAGGGAAGGGATGCTCAGCTCCTAGCACCCCAGGTGTGCTGAGGATGTCCACCATCCCCGAGGCACTGGGTCGCCCACGGAGCAGCTCCTCTCGCAGCCTGGCCGGGACGCTGGAGGCCACCATAGGCATGGGGACGTTGGAGATGGACAAGGAGGAGATGCGCATCCTCAAGGTCTGCTTCTACAGCAACAGCTTCAACATGGGCAAGAACTTCAAGCTGGTGAAGTGCCCTGTGACAACGGAGATCCGGGTATGTGGGCAGGGGGTTGGATGGGGCAGGGAATGGGGGGCTGTTTTCTCTGCCTGGCATCAGAGATAGCTCCCTTACAGACACCCTTTCCCATGGCGTTGGTGGCCTCCAGAGCCCTGTGGCTGAGAAACACCAAAACCTGGAGGACACAGAAAATTTGGCCCTCTCTGGCAGCCATGGGGAGTCCAAAGCACCCAGCTCTGTGGCCAGCAGCAGCTCTTGTTGTCCTGCCAGCCAGAACCCAGGTCCTTCTGCTCATCCCAGTGGGACTTCTGCACCCAACATCTGCCCTTTGCTTGTGCAGACATGGGGCTGGGAGTACAATGAAGGTGATATTGGTGCCTTTCCATCGTGGTCATGGTGGCATTGGGCCAGCAATGTCCTCCTCATCCTTCCTACCTGGAACGCTGTGGCATTCCAGCTGGGGGAAGATGTATGGGCACTGGGGACCAGCTGTGGCTCTGTGCTTGGGTGCTGCAGGGACAGTGTCCACCAAGGGAGATGCAACTTGGTCTAGTGGAAGGTGTCCCTGCTTATGGCAGAGGATTGGAACTGGATGAGCTTTAAGGTGCCTTCCAACCCAAACCATTCTGTGATTCTGTGTTCAGGCTGTGGGTTCTTGCAGATCAAGCAGGAGGCATCTTTGGAGGCTTTGCATGGATACCACTGGGGCAGGTGGATGTGCCCCAGGGCTGTGTTTTCACTCCAGGGACATTTCTGTTGCAGTTGTACTGTATTTCCTGCTCATTTTCCTGCTTTCCAAAGCTCCTCTGGAGCCTGGCCAGGGATGTTTGGGTCTCAGCCCTGCTCCTTTCCACCCCAGGAGGTGATCAGGTCCATCCTGGTGAGTGGCCGCATCGGGCCTGACATCAAGCTGGCCGAGTGCTATGGGCTGCGGCTGAAACACGTGAAGTCAGATGAGATCCATTGGCTGCACCCGGACCTCACAGTGGGAGAGGTGCAGGAGAAGTACGAGTGCCTGCACCTGGAGGCTGAGTGGAGGTAGGACCTGTGGTGGTGCTGTCCCTCTCTGTGTCCCAAACCCAAGTCCCCTTAGAGGGAAAGCTCCTCCAGCCTGGTCCTCATCGGGGGCTCTTCTGTTGCCAGGTATGATCTCCAGATCCGCTATCTGCCAGAGGATTTCATAGAACGCTTCAAAGAGGACAGGACCACCTTGCTCTACTTCTACCAGCAGGTCAGGGGTGGCCCTGGGGGTCCCCTAGCCCCGACCAAGTCTGCTCTGCAACCCCCCTGAGCCACCCATCAGCTCCAGGAGGGTGTTTCCTCCTCTCCAACCCAGAAAACATGATTCCCAAGAGCCCCAAGAACCTTACAGCCCATTTACCTTCACCCACACCCTGTGGTCCCATCCCACTTGCTAGACCTGTACATCTCCATCAGGGACAGTTCCAACCCCTTCACCCCTCTCTTGTCCCTACTGCATCCCAGTGTGGGATGCAGAAGGGCATGGACCCTGGGAGCATCCTTTGGGAGCATCCCCTGCCATCATCTCCTGTAAGCATCCCTGACAGCATCCCTTGGGAGCATCACCTCCACTTCCTGACTCCCTCATCTCCTTGGCAGCTCCGGAGCGAGTACATGCAGAATTACGCCAGCAAGGTGAGCGAAGGCATGGCCCTGCAGCTGGGCTGCCTTGAGCTCAGGTACGTACCTCGCTCTGTCCTGACCCATCTCCTGCAGTGGGAGGGCTGGGGAGGACACAGGATTGGGGCTGTGGAGGGTTTTGCAGGAGAAAGAAAGTTTCCAGCTCTTTCTTTGCCATGGTGGAGGGATGTGGCAGAGGGATGTGATGGAGGGATGCGAGCACAAGGTGGGTTTCTCATGTCCCTCCCTTCTCACAGGAGATTTTATAAGGACATGCCTCAGAATGCTCTGGATAAGAAATCCAACTTTGAGTTCCTGGAGTGAGTAGGCACAGCCTGTCCTGCTGGGCAGAAACCCCCTTATCCCTGAGTCCCCCACTCTGTCTTGAGGGGATGTGGATCTGCAGATGGCTTTCCTCACCCTTGTGCATCTCCTCATCCTCCCACAGCCATCTGCCCTGTGCACAGAAGGGGAGATGGGAACCTTTCACCCTGATCTATGGGGGTGATTTCTCCCCCAGAGCACCCCATTCCCCCTCAGCACCCACCTTCCTTGCTGCATCCCCCCCCCCCCCACTGCTCTGCAGACTCAGAGCAGGGATCCCATGGGGCTGTTAATGTGCATGGGGGGTTTCTGATCCTCAGGAAGGAGGTGGGTCTGGACCTCTTCTTCCCCAGGCAGATGCAGGAGAACCTGAAGGTGAGGACCATGTGTGGGTACGTGCAGGCTGGTGCATGGCTGCAGGGTGGGTGAGCGTGCACAGGCCTGGCTGGGAGTGCTCATGTGCATACCTCAAAGTGCACGCACAGATTTGCACGTGTGCGTGCATCTGCCTGCACTTGTGCATACGTGCGGTTGTGCTCACACATGTGACGACGTATCTGCATACGCATACCCGTGTGCATGTGTGTATACGTGTATAGGCATGTCTGCACACATGTGAAGGTGTATGTGCATGCATGTGCATATGTGCATGTATATGTATGCTGCATGCATGCAGGCACATGTGCTCACATGTGTTGATGCACCCGTATGCACACACTCATCTGCCCACGCTTGTGTACATGTAAAGGAGCGCACACACATGGAGGCAGCCTGGCCTGCACACACGTGTGGATGTGCATGGATGCAGGTTCACATCTGCAGGTGAATGTGTGCATGCATATGACTGTGTGCGTGCGTGCCTGTGTCCATGTGCACCCTCTGCACCCCACATTCCCGCTGCGTGCCCGGCCTGTGCCCGGTGTTCCCAGCGGCCGCTGTGCCCGCAGCCCAAGCAGTTCCGGAAGATGATCCAGCAGACCTTCCAGCAGTACGCGCTGCTGCGGGAGGAGGAATGCATCCTCAAGTTCCTCCACACCCTCGCCAGCTTCGCCAACATTGACCAGGAGAGCTACCGCTGCGAGCTCATTGTGAGTCTGCCGGGTGGGATGGGATCCGTGGGATGGGGTGCGATGGGATGGGTTAGGATAGGATGGGTGGACAAAGCCACCCTGCTGTGGGCTGCCCCCTGCCATGGTTCCCACACTTGGATGGGAACTTGGCCACCCCCAACTCAGAGGGGTCCCTGTGGGGAAGGCTCTGGGGGCTTCTCTTTGGAGGATGCTGTGAGCTGAGAGGGGCTGGGGATGTGGTGGGGGCTCTGGGGACCTTCCACATGCCAGGGTCCAAGCCTGGGGGGTATGAGCCAGTGCCTGAAGTTTGCTGAACCCCTTTGGGGTGAGAAGGTGTCAACCCAGGAGTGCTGGGAACCCCTTCGGGGCCAGGAGGAGGAAGAACACCTGCAATGGGCTCCCTGCCTTGTACCATCCACCATCCGCTTTCCAAACCATCCTCTGTTTAAGTTCCTCTGGGAAGCTGTTTTTCCCCCAAGGTGTCTCACACATTGCAGCAGGTTGAGGGGAAAACTGCCTTTTGGTGTCTTCCCACCCAAATTGCATCCTCCCTCTGTTTCTACCCTCAGCAAGGGTGGAACATCACAGTGGACCTGGTCATTGGACCCAAGGGCATTCGGCAGATGACGAGCAAAGAGGCCAAGGTATGGGCATGCATTGTGTGCTGGCTGGGGAGCGGGGTTGGCCGCTCTTAAACTGGTCGTTAAGTTGACACCTCTCCCCAGCCCACGTGCTTGGCTGAATTCAAGCACATCAAGTCCATCAAGTGCTCCAGTGTGGAAGAGGGCCGGGCTGTGCTGCAGCTGGGGCTCAGCGGCACCCCCCAGGTGAGGAGGCACTGGGAGGGTGCCTAGGGAGCTGAGGGGGTGCTGGGATGGGGGATCCCCTGGTGCCGTGGGGTGGCGTCGCATCCCTGCGGGCAGGGCAGGACTTGGTGGATACCTCCATTTCCACAGAGAGAGGTCTTGCCTCCAGCTTTGGCTCAGGAGAGGCTGTCCCTCATCCCAACAGCCCCCTGCCCCAGCTCTGGGCTTACCTGTCCCCCATCCCTACCATCTCCCCCAGTCCCTGGCTATCAAGACAGCTTCTCTGGCTGAGGCGGAGAACATGGCTGACCTCATTGATGGCTACTGCCGGCTGCAAGGGGACCTGGAAACCTCCCTCATCATCTTCCCCAGGAGAGGTGAGCACCCTGGGGGACACCGACCCCAGCAGGGTCCCTCTTCATGTCCCCAGTCCGCATTTTCCATGGCCACAGTGTCACCCATGGCTTTGGAGCGACCCCAGCTGAGACCCACCAAACTCACTGCACATGTGATCGAGGTGTTGCAGGGGGGCCCAGCACCCCTCAGGCTGTGATGGGGTGGCTGAGAGATGACTGTCTGTTGTCTTCTCCACAGAGCGGGAGAAGAGGATCAGCCTGCCGCAGATCCCAGCCCCGTGAGTACCGCCTGGCCCCAGAGCAGGGCTGGGACCTCATCCTGCACCCTGTTCTGCTCCCTCACCCTGACCTGCTTCTGCCCCACAGGCACCTGGAGGAGAGGCAGTCCACACTGTCAGACAGCATGAGCATGGGTGAGTTTTCAGCTCTTCCCTTCCCACCAGCCCAGGGGATGCCGGCAGGTCTGTGGGACAACAGTGTCCAGGGATCTGGGGGTCTGGTGGAGATGGACACCCCCAGCCCTCTGCCTGGGAGGTCAAGATGTAGCTGAGCATCCTAGGGGAGGGCCAGACTGGCATCCCAAAGGCCCTCGTGTCTGTGGGTTGGTTGGACTCCATTGGGATGCAAGAACCTTGGTGAGCTGCCTGAATCCCTGCCTGCAACCTCCTTCTTGCTCCAGACTCTGATATTTATTGTGAAATCCCTGATGAGTCCTCAAGACCAAGGTCTGGAGGTAGGTGCCACCCCCCTGGGTGCCCTTTAGCTCGTCAACATCTCATCCAAGTCCTCCCACTTCCTCCTGCCTACCCCAACCATCCCATCCCCACCTGCCCTGCCCACCTTTGCCTGCACTACCTGGCCTACCACCGTGAGGGGCTGAAGGACCTGGGATCTCCCCTTGTGCCATGGGACAGGATCTGTGGACCCTTGCTGAGGGGGTGATGGGAGGATGGGTACCCGGTGATCACCATTTCCTGCTTAGCATGGGGGCTCTGCCCATGGAATGGGCAGGGGTACAGGCAGCTTCACTGCTGCTTCTGCCCTGTTTCCCTGTCCATGAAGTCCAGCACTATGGGATCTCCCGGGAGGACATCACATTGGGCAGGATCCTTGGAGAAGGTTTCTTTGGAGAGGTCTACGAGGGGATCTACACCACCCCGGTGAGCGTCCTCCCTCTCCCTGCCCTGCCTGCCTCCTCCATGGCTGGGGGGAGTGGGGTAACGCAGCCATCACCCTGCCTTCTCCTTGCAGAAAGGGGAGAGGATTAACGTGGCTGTGAAGACCTGCAAGAAGGACTGCAGCCCGGAGAACAAGGACAAGTTCCTGAGTGAAGCAGGTATGCCTTTCGGTGGGGGCAGAGCCTGCTCAGATCCCCACCAGGGCTCACACAGTGAGGCAGAGGACCAGTGTGGTGGTTGCAGCGCTGCAGTGGAGGGGTGTTAGAAACAAAACCATGTCCTGGCATCATCTGGTCCCTGCTTGGGGATGCAATGCAGGATAGGGCAGGAGGGAGGTGGCCCATGCCCTAGCCCCTGTGACAGGGCTGATGTCCAAAATACCTGGTTTATGGGAGGGATAGCTACAGGGGCAGGAAGAAAAGCTGGATCCATCCATCAGCTGGATGGAGATCCCGAAGCTGGAAAGCGGGAGGCTGTTACTAGGAATTCCTCCTGCTCTGTCTCCAGCTTCATGGAGAGACCTGCCCCTCCACCCCAGGACAGAGTTTGGGGCTCCTGAAGAGGGGAGTCCCCCCATTGCAGGGGGGCTGATGTGGTCTCTCCACAGTGTTGATGAAGAAGCTGGACCATCCCCATATCGTGAAGCTCATTGGCATCGCAGAAGAGGAGCCCACCTGGATCATCATGGAGCTCTATCCTTATGGAGAGGTGAGAGGGGCTCTGACACTGGAACCCATCCTGTTCCCCTGCCACTCTTCCTGCCCCTGCTCAGTCCCTGTTGCTTGTCCTGTTGCAGCTGGGGCAGTACCTGGAGCAGAACAAGCACTGTCTCGCTGTGCCCGTGCTCATCCTCTACGCACTGCAGATCAGCAAAGCTCTGGCCTACCTGGAGGCCATCAACTGCGTGCACAGGTAGGGCAGGAGGGAAAAGGAGCTGGGCAGGATGCTGCGATAGCAGGGAAGGCAGGGGCCATGGGGGACATGCAGGTGGGTAGCAGGAGCAGGCAGAGGCTGAGGCTGGCAGCATCCTTTGCTGCAGACCCTTTTTGTGAGCTGTCCTTCTCCATCCCTTCTCCCCAGCCAAGGGTCTCTTTCCTTGCAGGGATATTGCTGTGAGGAACGTCCTGGTGGCCTCCCCAGAATGTGTGAAGCTGGGAGACTTTGGGCTCTCCAGGTACATTGAGGATGAGGAGTACTATAAAGGTAAGAGCTGTGTGATGGAGTTGGGGCTTCTTCCAACCCTGTGAGGGTAGAGCAGACAGCAGAGTCGGCACACAATGGGACTCCCTGCAACAGAAGAGCTGAGGCAGGGACTATGCTGAGACCTGGCTTCCCTACGGTGCCCTCCTGCTCTGAGCACTGCCACTGTCCTATCTCTCCCTCCAGCGTCCGTCACTCGCCTCCCCATTAAGTGGATGTCCCCCGAGTCCATCAACTTCCGACGCTTTACGACGGCCAGTGACGTCTGGATGTTTGGTGCGTGGCTGGGACAGGGATGGAGCGTGGTGGGACATGGAGAGAGTGGGGTCCTGGGCTTCATCCACCTCCTGTGGCATCGTCTCACTGAACAGGGACAAATCCTGCTCTGGAGCAGGGGGGTTAGCCCAGCCTTGCCCTTGCAGAAAGGGCTCCTTGGGCAGAGCTTCCTCCCACTCAACCATCGCTAGGTGCTAGCTAGGAACATCCTCCTCCTCCAGTGAATTCAGGATGTTGTGGGGCTGAGTTAAACTCTGCTCCCTGCAAATAATCCATCCTGCTGCCTATGCGCACATCCCACAGCCCCTGGTGTCTGTCCATCCCTGTCAGGATGGCCAAGGAGCCAAATGACCTGGAGTCACACAGCAAAGCATGACACTGTCACCAGGTCCCCAAAACCACAAGCATGGCACTGGTAGTTTCAGCATCGTCTGAGGTTGTTCTTGTTCCCACAGCCGTGTGCATGTGGGAGATCCTCAGCTATGGCAAGCAGCCCTTCTTCTGGCTGGAGAACAAGGATGTGATAGGAGTGCTGGAGAGGGGAGACCGCCTGCCCAAGCCTGACCTCTGCCCCCCCATCCTCTACACACTCATGACGCGCTGCTGGGACTATGACCCCAGTGAAAGGCCCAAGTTCAAGGACTTGGTTTGCAGCTTGAGGTGAGCGGGAAGGCAGGGGACTGATGATGATGATGGGCTGGGGGGGGGAGGGATGGTTTGATGGAGGGGTGGGCAAGTGAGTGAAGGAGAAAATGATGCTGGGCAAGATTCTGGGTCTGGTGTTTTCTGGACAAGCCTGAACTCAAAGAACTGTTCAGACCATTTGAGCCCACCTGCCTTGAGGGGTGGTAGTGCCTGGGCTGAAGTGGAAACACTTTGCTTCCCATGGAAGGGTCTTGCAGGGGTACTGGTGATGCTGGTGTGGCCAGCCAGGACCAAGCTATGTCCACCCAGTCCTTTCCCTTTGCTCTTCCCATCCCTCCTTGCTCCCTTGTGTTTTCCATGGCCCATCCATCTCAAGCATCTTCGGTCTCTGGGGTATGGGAGATGTGGCAAAGCACCCTCCGGGGTCTGTCTCTCCATCTCCCCCTGTGCAGTGACATTTACCTGATGGAGAAGGAGCTGGCCAAGGACCAGGAGAGGAACAACCGCCACCGGCCTCCCAAAATCATGGAGCCGCCATCCTTGCAGGAGCCGCCTCCAAAGGTGAGCAGAGGGCAGAGCCCATGCAGGCAGGTTCATCTCCATGCCTCAACCCATTGGTGGGTGCTGCAGAAGGGGGACCTCCCTGGGCTCGCACCCACCATGCATTTCTGCCTCCTGTGCACCCTGCAGCCCAGCAGACCCAGGTACAAGCCACCACCTCAGAGCAATCTCCTGGCTCCCAAGCTGCAGTTCCAGGTAAGGTGGCATGGCCAAATCATCCCTCAGGAACATAAACAAGGGGTCAACACCAGAAAACCCTGTCTGGAGCCCAAGCCCTCAGGGGCTTATGGCTTTGGGGGATCAAAGGTGCTCTGCACCATCACCAAGTGCCTTCCACCATGTTGCCAGTAGGACACTGCACCACTGGGGGCTCAGCCCTGTCCTGCCCTGCCTGACCTTTGTTTTGTCCGCCCCTTGGAGCTGGCAGAGGCTCTCACCCCAGGGAAGGGGGGTTTTCAGGCTTGGCATTGGCAAGTTTGTACATAGTGCTGACAGGAGAGGAGGTTTGCTGCTCTCTAGTGCTACCTGGGCTGAATTTGGCCTCTGCAAGGACCATTGCTGGTCCTTGGAGCATCTGGGTAAGCTCTCAAGAACAAGTCCAGAGAAGGGCTGTGAAGATGGTCCAAGGGCTGGAGCATCTCTGCTATGGAGACAGGCTGAGAGAGCTGGGCTTGTTCAGCCTGGAGAAGAGAAGGCTCCAGGGAGACCTTAGAGCAGCTTCCAGTGCCTAAAGGAGCCGACAAGAAAGCTGGAGAGGGGTTTTTGACAAGGGCCTGTAGGGACAGGACAAGGGGGAATGGCTTTAACCTGACAGAGGGGAGATATAGGTTAGACATTAGGCAGAAGTTCTTCCCTGTGAGGGTGCTGAGACCCTGGCACAGGTTGCCCAGAGAAGCTGTGGCTGCCCCATCCCTGGCAGTGTTCAAGGCCAGGTTGGATGGGGCTTGGAGCAACCTGGTCTAGTGGAAGGTGTCCCTGCCCATGGAAGGGGGTTGGAACTGGATGAGCTTTAAGGTCCCTTCCAACCCAAACCATTCCATGATCCTATGAACTATTCTGGGTGCTCTTTTGAGGCTGGGTAGGGGTCCAGCAGCAGTGCAGGAGGCCTCAAGCTCATGCTCAGTGCAAGAAAGAGCTGAGCAGGGAGGACCGTCCTGATCCCTGCAGCACAGACAGGCATGAGGGCAAAGGCTGTTCCTGGTGCCAAAGCTGCTCTCCCCCACATTGTCTGCTCTGTCTGTTTGCACTAACCTAACCCTCCGTGGCCCTGTTTTGTGCCTGCACCCCCCGCTGCCCGCCCGCAGGTGCCCGAGGGTCTGTGTGCCAGCTCCCCTACGCTCACCAGCCCCATCGAGTACCAGTCTCCAGCCAACTCCCTGCACACCCCACCACTCAACCGCCACAATGTCTTGAAGCGCCACAGCATGAGGGTAAGAGAGGGATCCCCCCATCCAGCATCATCCAGAGGATATCCTGGTCCTGGGTGGCCTCATCCCAGGCACACCGGGGACCTTGCAGGAGGGATGCTTGCTGTACCACACGCTGCTTCGTGCTGCTGCCTCCAACGCTTCCAGCTCTTTGTTGCTTCTGATCTTGCTGTAGGAAGGACAAATCCTGTCACCCCATGGGTGCTGTTTGTGGGCTGGAGGGATCAAGCCTGTGAAGGGCTCCAGGGTGTCTCCAGCCCCATGCTCTGCATGTTTGCACGCACATCCCGGTGAAGGCATGTTGATGGATGAGCGCCTGGCACTGTGTCCCCAAACCCAAGCAAGGGATAGGTGGCTGCCACTCCTTGGGGCTTTGGGTCACCTCCTCATGCTCGGTGTTGTCACCTGAAATGCCACTGGTGGTTTGTAGCCCAAGCTTGGCTATTCTATCCCTGAATAAGCTGGGTATTGGGGTGCATCCTGTGATGCTCTGCCTGTCACGCTAAGACAGCCACGTTGCTGAGTGCCTCTATGTTGAGCTGCTCCTAGGGTGGCTGGGATGCGGTGGTGGGAAATGTGGGGCCAGCTCGTAGTTTCCTCTCCCTGCTGGAAACCCAAGTGCTCCCCAGATTGGGTGTTCATGGCTGTTGGGTTCTGGTGCATGGCTTGCATGCGCAGACTGGGGCTCTGGCTCCTGTGCCAAAACTGAGGGGTGGGGGGCTCTGGCTCCTTGAGGCCCCCCCATCACCACTGTCTCTGCACACCAGGAGGAAGACTTCCTCCGTCCCAGCAGCAGGGAGGAGGCGCAGAAGCTCTGGGAGATGGAGAGGCTCAAGATGCGGCAGGTCCTGGACAAGCAGCAGAAGCAGATGGTGGAGGACTACCAGTGGCTGCGGCAGGAGGAGAAGTCCCTGGTGAGTGGCCACGAGCTGGGGCCTCCCAGGTCTTGCACCGTTGTGAAGGTGGTTAAAGAGCCACTGCAGGCAATGAGGTTGCTCTTCATGGCTGGAAAACCCGGTTTTCCTTGGAGGAACAGCTCCTCCAGCAGCCAAACCTCTTGCACCCCTGATAAAGATGTCACAGAGCTGCTTCATTTAAAAGTGGATATTTTGAGACTTGGGCAACTTTTAAATGCTTTCAATCATGTCTTAATGAGATTTCATAATGCTTTTGAAGTCAGGACTGAAGATAGCTAACACGTGATTAATGCATCAGCTAGTGGTGAAACAGGCTTGGAAGGAGGCTGAAAATCTTTATTCAATCGACTTGTGCAGTTGATAAAGCAAAGCCCAGCTCCCCTCTGCCCTGAGCAGCTGCACACAGCTTCTTGAATTAAGCTTCGAGGGGGTTTGAGCAGCACACTGAGTTTCTGGTGCCCCAGGAGCAGGCGGGGAGCAGATAGGAGTGATGGGGTGGGGTGGAGATGGGACCAGCAATAGGCATAAACCCCCTTCCCCACCTGCATTCCCAGACCCTGCAGAGTTGCATTCCTGTGATGTGTTCCGTGGGTCACCCAGAAATCAGGAAAATCCCTTTTTTCCTCTGTTTTTCCTTTTTTCTCACACCTCTCACAAAGCTTCTCCCCCTTTGCAGGACCCAACAGTGTTTATGAACAACAACGCTCCTCTGGTGAGTAGTGCCATCCCTGGAGAACCCAGGTTAAGGGTGTATTTGGGTGCAGGGGCTCCTTCTTTTAGAGGTGTCTGGAGATCCTCATTTGCTTTGGCATGGAAGGAGGATAAATACTTACATATATTCCCTTTGCACTGGGAAAATGAATCTGCAAATGTCCATGGGGTTACTGGTGGTGCGGAGCTCCTCACCAGAAGCCCTGGGAGGGGATGGCGATGCTTCCAGCCAGGACTTTGTGCCTCTTATTTGCTGTTTCTTCCCCCCACAGCTGCTCCCGGAGAAGGAGATGGATTACAGTGAGTGCCCAGTGATGCATGGGGAGTGGGGCTGTCCACCCAGGAGCACCCGCTTTGGGGCTGCATGTGGGGAGCCCTGCACTGAGCCTCAGGGCTGTATCCTTCCCAGCTTTGGGCTCCTCCATGAAAGAAATCCCAGATCATGGAGAGCAGCTTTGCCTGCCCTGGGGAGGGGGTTCTGCTTGTCCCAGGCATGGGGGTCCAGGGAGGGTCTGACCCTGCAGGGAGGTGGCACAACCAGGATGGGTCAAGGATATACTGCTGCGTGGCGGTGTGGGATGTGGCACAGGTCCCAGGGGTTTTGCATCATGCCCTCATGTCACTGGGAGCAGCTGGAGTGACTCTCCTTCCTTTCCCTTACTGATGGCATAGCGGAGTTCACAGGGCCCCCCCAGAAGCCTCCAAGACTCGGGGCACAGGTAAGACCTCCCTGGATCGGGCCATCATGGTCCCAGTCCTATGCCTCCATCTCTACAGCCTCATTGTGCCTCCTCCATCTCCATCATCCCCCTGCATCTGCAGGATGGCACTTTTCTGACTACCCAAGGCCCCATGGGGTTCAGAGATCCAGCAGCATCTGGGTGACGGATGGGAGGTGGATGAGTCTGGCCAGGGCTCCCCATAGGTCTTGGTCTTTCCCTCCTTGCCCCCTTGGTCTATCTGATCCCATTTGTCCCTGCTCCACAGCAGTCCATCCACCCTGCCCCCACTGCCAACCTGGACCGCACAGATGACATGGTGTACAGCAATGTCATGGACCTGGTGCGGGCTGTGCTGCAGCTGAAGAACGAGATCGGCCTCCTGCCCCCAGAGGGGTACATCCTCGTGGTGAAGGTAGGGAGGACAGGGAGCGGACAACATCAGTGCTTCTATGGGGAACAGGGGAGTTGGGAATGAGTCTGCTGAGTGGTTCCCACCAAGCATCCATATCAGGAGGGTCTTGCATATATAGGAGGGAGCATTTCCAATATTCCCAGCTCCTCCTTTGGATCCTTGGGTCAATGATGGCAGGGTTTCCAACATGCCCTGCTCCTCCATTGGGTCCTTGGGTCAATATTGAGAGTTATCAATACATCCTGCTCTCCATTGGTGTCCTTGGCAGAACGTGGGCCTGTCCCTGCGGAAGCTGATTGGCAGCGTCGATGAGATCCTGCCTGTCCTGCCCGCTGCCTCCCGCACTGAGGTAGGTCCAGGGAGGAGGGAAAGGGATCTGGCATGGGGTCATGTGCTGGTGGCACCCCTGTCTGTAACCCCTGTGTGTCACAATCAGATCGAGGGGACCCAGAAGCTGCTTAACAAGGACTTGGCTGACCTCATCAACAAGATGCGCCTGGCGCAGCAGAACGCCATCACCTCGCTGAGCGAGGAGTGCAAGCGGCAGATGCTGACGGCCTCCCACACCCTGGCTGTGGATGCCAAGAACCTCCTGGATGCTGTGGACCAAGCCAAGGTCCAGGCCAACCTGGTGAAGCTGTGCTTGGAGTGAGAGCAGGGGTGGAGGGAGGGAAGCAGAAGGGGTGGGGAAGGAGAAGAGGGAGAGCATTGCAAAGGAGCTGGCTTTTGTGTCTCCCGTTGCCTCGCCGTCCTGCCCTTCCTGTCCCTGTCCTCCTGCAGCCGCTCGTGTCTTTAGCATCGTCTTGTCAGTCTTCTGAAGAAGGGAGGCATCTGGTGAATGGAAGGGGCTAGGGGGGACCTGGCCATCCCTGAGGGTGGCTGAAGATCCCTTTGGCTCGGCAGCTCTGCTCCCTGGCTGCCAGCAGGTCCGTGTGTCCGTCCATCAGCCCCTCCAAGGATGGCCAGCCGCGGGCGGCACGTTGTGATGGGGACCTGGACCCTGCTCCCCACTGCTGGGAGTGGGGGGCTGCGCGGGAGTCCCCAGGGGCCACCGGAGTGGTGGCTGGAGGGACTGTTTTCATTTCCTTGTACATTGTATACAAGAGTCTATTTAATGATGGGAAGCGGGTCCGCGCGCCATAGCGGAGCCGCTTCTAGCGCCCGTGGCCGGAGCACGCCCAGCCCTAAACCTGCAGAGCATGGGGAGGGATGGGACCCCATGGACCACAGCCTTTGGTGGCACAAACCAGGAGAGCGGTGCCTCTTCCAGCTGAGTTTTCTCCAAGCTGCTCTGTGTAAGCAACGATGGCAAACCAAGTCTCCATTCGGTTTGTGCTTTGAGTTGGAAACCATACGGTTCGGGCTTTTCCCCAGCAACTTCCCACAGCGTTGTTCGTTCTGGCTGATATAAACCATGCACAAAGTCATGCTGTGCCTGTGCTTGCCTGTCACCCCCATACAGTGGGACAAGTCCTGGTCACCAGCACCTCCTTAGAAAGAGTAAGGGTTGTGCTGCTTGGAGCTCTGAGCTGTCTGCCATCATGGGGAAGTGCTTGCCCAGTGGTGGCATCCCTGGGAGAGCTGCTGGGGTGAACCTGGGTCTGCTGCATCCACATCATCTCTGAAGCCCCATTTCCCTCCTGTGGAGCTCACAATTTGTATGAGGGCTGTGGACTCCACCAGCTCCCAGAGAAGAGAACTGAACCATGATCTTATCACAGCATCACAAAATGGTTTGGGATGGAAGGGACCTTAAAGCTCATCCAGTTCCAACCCCCTGCCATGGACAGGGACACCTTCCACTAGACCAGGTTGCTCCAAGCCCCATCCAACCTGGCCTTGAACACTGCCAGGGATGGGGCAGCCACAGCTTCTCTGGGCAACCTGTGCCAGGGCCTCACCACCCTCACAGGGAACAACTTCTGCCTAAGATCTCATCTCAATCTCCCCTCTGTCAGGTTAAAGCCATTCCCCCTTGTCCTGTCCCTACAGGCCCTTGTCAAAAGCCCCTCTCCAGCTTTCTTGTCAGCCCCTTTAGGCACTGGAAGCTGCTCTAAGGTCTCTGCGGCACCTTCTCTTCTCCAGGCTGAACAAGCCCAGATCTCTCAGCCTGCCTCCATAGCAGAGGTGCTCCAGCCCTCGGAGCATCTCTGTGTCCTCTCTGGACTCGCTCCAACAGCTCCACGTCCTTATGTTGGGGCCCCAGAGCTGGATGCTGGACTGCAGGGGGGGGGGGAATCTCAACAGAGCAGAGCAGAGCTCTGCAGAGCACTACAACCCATGTACCATGTTAAAAACATGCACACACATACCCACACACATCCAGCTGTGCCTGGGCACTTGCTCTCTCACACATCCCATCCCAGTTGTGTACACCGGAGCATGCCAGCACTGGAGACCACACGAGCGGCTGCAACACCCCCAGGATGTGGGTGTCCCTCTGTGGCATCATTTATTCCAGCCCATTTCACTCCTGAGAGCACAGTGTTTCCAAACCCCTGCAGACCACATCTGGTGCTCTGATGGCTCGGTCTCCTGGAGGAGAAAGCATTGCAGGAAAATCTGGTGCCTCTTGGGGCATATAAGAAGTGAGTAGGTGCTCGGTAAGTATGGGTCCTTCAGGTTATATGGAAGCTAGAGGTTAAAAGCTGGATTGCAGCAGTCATGGGAGCCAGGTGGTTTTGGACCTGATCTGTGGGAAAATGTGGAAGCAACCACTAGTGCTGGCAGGTTGCAGAGTGTCTGTGCCTGGGCTGTGCTTTGCAACCCCCATGCCATGTGTCCAAGCAGGGCCCTCCATCCCAGGACCACACCACTTCTTCATGGACCTTCATGGACCTTCTTCATGGATCTTCTTCATGAAGTGTTACCACCTGCCCCACATCATGGATGACCACATGACCCTGTCATAGTAAACACCCTGCAGTCAGGACATGTCCTAAAGTGGCTGTAAGGTCCTCTCTTCTTGCCCAGCACACTGGAGTCACAACCAGACACAGCTCTTGGGTTTTCGGTAGGACTTGGAGCAGCTTGAGGAAGCAGATGACTCTCTTAGATGCCTCCAGCTTGAACTCAAGCAATGGGGAAGCTGTTCCACACCTTCCTCAACGCTGCAATGGCTGCAACTGCCCTGGGCAGGATAGCAGGCAGGCATCCCCCACCATCCCCAGGGCACAGCCCCTGCTTCACCCTACATTTCCTATCTCAGGGTCCTCCATGGTTGCCACCATGTCCTCCCAGGGTCAGGCTGGATGTGGGCACCACTCTCTGCCATCCCCACCGCAGCCTGGCCTGGCCCTAGATCATCCCTGCCAGGTAGGGTGGGAGGAAGAGCCCCACGGTACCCAGCATGCAGACAATGATGAACATCCAGAGGAAGATGCGGTCGATCACCATGGCCACGTACTTCCAGTCCTCCTTCACCTGCCGAGCAGAGAGGGGCTGTGAACACGGGCAGAGGATGCAGGACCCCTTGGGGTTAGAACACCCTGGGCTTCCTCTGCATCTGCTGTGTGCCTCTTGGGAAACCCCTGGAGCATCTGGGCTGGGGGATGGACCTCTCTGCTTGGGGCAGAGGTAATCCCACCCAGGGTTTTCTGAAACCATTTGGGAACAAGCAGAGTACAGCCTCCGAGCTGTGTCCCAGCAGGAAGGCTGGGCCATCTCTGCTCCCCAAGGTCAGGATACCACGGGCAGAATAGGGACCTCTGACATCCTCACATCCAGCAGGGATAGAAGCCGGAGAGAGCCCTCAACTGGGCATCTCCCAGGAGGTGGTTGTTGATCTTCTCTGTGGCTTTGGGTCCTCAGTAGCCAGGGAACCAATCGGGAATCCCAGCACTGCCCCCCTTCATGGAGGTACACATGGCAAGAGGCAGCACCCAGGGCAGGGGACCCCCCTCTCCCTCCAACCCTCGGGGCACCCACTCACCGAGAAGTCAGCATCCTCTGCTCGCAGGTGGTCCGCGATGTACTGCACCCCTTCCAGGGCCTTCAGGATGCTGGGGGACAGCAGCAGCCCCTGGTCTGAGCCCTCCTGCTCCTCCTCCCTCTTGGGGGGCACTCGGGGGGGCAACCCCCCTGGTGTCTTCCTAGCTTGTTGCCCACAGCTATAGCAGCACTGGTTGCCCTGGGTGTGGGACCCCGCCTGGGATATGCGGCTGGGGTACGTCTTCTCCTCCTCTTCCTCTTCCTCCTCCTCTTCCTCCTCCTCTTCTTCCCACTTGTCATCCACATCGGTCTCCAGCCAGCACCGGGAGGTGCTGAGCCTCGTCCCAGGGAGGTCGTACTGCCCCACGGGCCCCTCGGGTGGAGGCAGCGCTGGGGGACGCTTTATGAAGAGCCAGCGAGGGATGAAGTCCAGAAAGAAGGTGCGCACCCAGCGTGGCATCGTGTGGGTGCTGGGGGAGCGGTGGTGCACATTGAGGACAAACACGGTAATGATGATGGAGAGCGTGACGAAGATCATGGTGAAGAGGAGGTACTCTCCGATGAGGGGGATGACCAGTGAGGTGGATGGGATGATTTCCGTGATGAGCAGCAGGAATACGGTGAGGGACAGCAGGACAGAGATGCAGAGAGTGATCTTCTCCCCACAGTCGGAGGGCAGGTAGAAGACTAGAACGGTCAGGCATGAGATAAGCAGGCAGGGTATGATGAGGTTGATGGTGTAGAATAACGGGAGGCGACGGATCACAAAGCAAAAGGTGATGTCAGGGTAGATCTCGGTGCAGCAGTCATACTTCTTGGAGTTATAGGTGCCGATGGCGTTTATGATGGCCCACTCACCACTCTCCCAGTAATCCTTGAGGTCCACGTGGTGGTCCATGTTCTCCAGATCAATCTTGGCCTTGTCATAGGTCCATGAGCCAAACTTCATCTTGCAGTTCTGCTGGTCAAAGGGGAAGTAGGTGACATCGATGCTGCACGAGCTCTTGTAGATGGCGGGTGGCACCCACTTCACCTTCCCACTGGAGAAGAGGTGGGCCTTCGTCATGTGGGTCACAGCGAACTCCCCGTCAGCACTGCAGGCATGGAGAGGTGTGAAGGTCAGAGAGGGATGAAGCGTTTCCCCAGGGAGAAGCAGGGCCAGGAGGTCCCTCAACTGTCAGGGATGGAATGAGCCTTAGTTTGAGGTTCTGGCCCCATTCAGCATCCCTGCACAGTGCTGGGCTCGCCTTCCTGGGCATCATCCAGAGCATGGGATGGGGTAGCGGGAAGGGAAAAAGGGGAAAGGCCACACCTGCACCCCGATCAGCTGCACCGCCGCCCGTCCCCGCCCGCTCCTATTTATCCGGCCGCCGAGCCGCGGGTCCGCCCCGCTTCGGCCCCGGAGCTTTCTGGAACCGGCGGGACCGGCCCCGGCCCGGCCCGTCCCGCCCCCCTCCCTCCAGTGCCCCCCCCCCCTTCCCGCACTCCCGTCGCCCCCCAGCCGGCCGGTGCGCGGCGCCAGGACGCCGCGGGGACGGGCGCGGTGGCCCTCGGCATCACATCACATCACATCACATCGCACCGCACCGCACATCCCGCGCAGAACGGGGCTCCCAAATCCCGGGTGCTGCGGTCCCGGGGGGGATGTGTGTGATGTAAAACCTCGCCGGTTGTTGCGCACCCAACACCCCTCCCCAAGGGCTCTTTATTCCTTTATTTCCCCCCCCTCCCCCCCTTGCTTCCACTTTCTACTCGCGGCCTCGCACCCAGCGGGGGCTGAGTGGGGACCCCCCCTCCCATCCCCTCCTCTCCCCCACCCCGAGCTGCAACATCCCCCATTGCTGCGGGGGTCACCGAGGCCCCGGAACCGCGGTTGGCGCCCAGCAAAGGGGCGGGACGGGACGGGACGGGGCGGGCCCCCCCGAATCCCACCCTTGTGAGAGGGGGGGGCAGCCCCGGGGCAGCGGGACCAGAGCGGGGCACGGCCTGGAGACGGGAGCGGGTGCGTGCGGGTGCGGGTGCGAGGCTGTGGAGGGGAGCTGTGGGTGCGGGTGCTCCCAGGGACGAGAGGGGCCCGTGTGTGTGCGCGGGGGTGCAAGCTCTGGAGCTGTGTACGGGACGTGTGTGCATGGGGGTGCTGTGGAGGGGACATGTCGGGACATGCTCACCAGGGCAGAGTGTGGGACACGCATGGGTGTGCAAGCTCTCTCGGGACCAAGGGTGAGACACACGTGTGCGGGGGTGCAAACTGTCCTGGTACCGTGTATGAGATGTGTGTGCGGGGGTGCAAACTGTCCTGGTACCGTGTATGAGATGTGTGTGAGTGGGGTGCAAACTGTCCTGGTACCGTGTATGAGATGTGTGTGAGTGGGGTGCAAACTGTCCTGGTACCGTGTATGAGATGTGTGTGAGTGGGGTGCAAACTGTCCTGGTACCGTGTATGAGATGTGTGTGCGGGGGTGCAAACTGTCCTGGTACCGTGTATGAGATGTGTGTG